CAGCACCTGGGTGTCTCCTCGCAGGTGAGCGTCGGGGGGCGGTGGTGTAAGGCAGGAGGGGGGTGGGCTGGGCTTGAGGGGGAGGGATGAGGTCGTGTCTCCGCTCACTCTGCCCTCAGAGAAATAATAGTCCCTCCCGTGGCGCTGGTGGTTATTTAGTCATTCATTCATTTAGTCGCGCCGTCAGCCACGAAGCGCCTAGGGTAGCCCTAGCGTAGGCGCTGGGCAGAACCAGACTCCTTTCCTCTTCCTTTCCTCTTGGAGCGTACATTCGGCCTTTGCTAACAGATTCATTTATTAACTAGTATGCATTGTGTATTGAGCACTTACTCTGTCAGGCACTTTTCTAGGCGTTTGGAATACATCTGTGAATGTAACACAAAACCCGTGCTTATGGAACTAGTATGGACAGACAGACAAGAAGTAGAATGAAGTAGTCGATTCTGTGGCATGATAGAAGGAGAGGAGAGGGTTATATTTTTTTTTTTCAATAAGAGGGCAAGGGTACAACTCAGGAAAAAGGTGACTTGACGGCGGTTGTTGAGGGAGCAAGCCACAGGAGTATCCGAGGAAGGAATAGTGTTGCAGACTAAGGAAACCACCGGTGCAAGGCCCTGGGGCAGAAGGATGGATGCCCTAATCCTACCTGTAGGGCAGCCGGGTGAGGGCGGGGCCGCAGTAAGTGGAAGAGGAACTCAGAGGTAAGGAGGGGGCACATGACACACCTAGGCTTTTGTGAACTGAGGAGCCTTGGAGTTGAGCAGAGGAGGGACATGACTTACATTCCAGAAAGGTCGCTGGAGCTGCTATAAGGGAAATGGCGTGGCCTGGGTCACAGATAGAAATAGGGAGACCAGCGAGGAGGCTGTTGGAGGCACCCAGGTGAGAGGTGATGGTGACCGATCGGAGGGAGGTAACAGGGAGTGGGGGGGATGTGGGAAGAAGTGGCTGGATTCTGGAGCTATTTTGAAGATAGAGCCAATATGATTCGCTGATAGTTTGGAAGGGGCTTGACTTAATAACCTTAAATTGACTCTGCGTTCATATTTTCCAAAACCGTTTCCCATAGAGATGAGAGGAATGTTTTACAGTTGCTTCTGATCAGGTTTTTGATTGGAGACCAAAAGCAAATTCAGCCCTTGCAATAGGATGTTGGTTTCTTTTATGCTTTAAGAAGAGTATTCTTGTATCACCCATCATCTATTTGTTCTTTTCTTTCAAAGTAGGGCTGTGTTGACCATCCCATCGTTTTGACAGAAGCGGTGTGCAACCCGCTGTATTCACGACAAATGATGTCTGAGCTCCTTTTTGAATGCTACGGGGTTCCCAAGGTTGCCTACGGAATAGACAGCCTGTTCAGCTTCTACCACAATAAGCCAAAGACCTTGATTTCCAGTGGGCTCATCATTTCATCTGGGTACCAGTGCACACATATTTTACCCATCTTAGAAGGGAGGTGAGTACACTTAACGGCATGAGTGCTCTTTTGAGAAGCATTCAGGAAACGTTTATTGGGTGCCTGTTTTAAAGGTGGAGTTGAAAGAGCAGGTACCGGACCATGAACTGGCCACCGGGCTTAGCTCTGACCTATCTCGCTTTGTGACTATGGGTAAGTAACTTCACCTTACATTCTTTGTGACCTCTTGGAAGGAGTTGAGGTGGATGGTCTCCGAGGTCCAAATCCACAATTGTGGAATTTTATAATTCTGGTTTATAGTGAGATAGCTAACACAGTACCTGCAGGAACTAGGGGCTCAATAACAATGTTTGAATAAATTATTTGAATAAACTTAATTTAGACTGTGTTCTGGAGTCACTTTCTTATTAAGATAGTATTATTTTTTTCTTCAGGGTATTTCTTTATATATATAGATAGATAGATAGATATTTTTTATTGATTTTTTACAGAGAGGAAGGGAGAGGGATAGAGAGTTAGAAACATCGATGAGAGAGAAACATCGATTAGCTGCCTCCTGCACACTCCCTACTGGGGATGTGCCCGCAACCAAGGTACATACCCTTGACTGGAATCGAACCTGGGACCCTTGAGTCCACAGGCTGACGCTCTATCCACTGAGCCAAACCGGTTAGGGCAAGATAGTATTAATTTTATTTAAAGCTCTTTAATCACCATAGTTTAGACGTTTTTCAGGTACAGTGCCTGGTACATAATAGGTACTTATTAAATGTTTTTGAATTGAATAAAAAGTGAGGGTCGTTTCTGTCATCTCTAAAATCTGTTCTTATTTTATAGTTGGGCTTTTGTTGTCTGATGAAAGACTAGGCCAGCATCATGCTCTCCTGAGATTTCTCATTGAGTAAAGGGGATGTGTAAGAAGAGTCCTGGTTTTGCCCTCGCCAGTTTGGCTCAGTGTGGGCCTGCGGACTGAAGGGTCCCGGGTTTGATTCTGGTCAAGGGCATATGCCCGGGTTGTGGTCTTGATCCCCAGTAGGGGGTGTGCAGGAGGCAGCTGATGAATGATTCTCTCTCATCATTGATGTTGCTATCTCTCTTTCCCTCTCCCTTCCTCTCTGAAATCAACAAAAATGTATATTTAAAAAAAAAAAGAGTTCTAGCTTTGGAGTTGAATGCCTGGTTTGTAGTCCTGCTAAGGATGAGGTACCTAGCCTCTTCACTTAGTTTCCTAATATGTACAATGGGAAAAATTGATTGCTCAGGGTTATCCTGAGGATGAAATGAGATAATGTAGATGATGGCACTTTGTAAATTATAAAGCATTATGAACATTTAACTTAAAACAAATGCTGTGGAATATATTGAGCCCTAGAGTAGGAATTTCTCCTGAAATTTTTACAAAAATTAATGAAGAAAAATAATTCTTACACATTACCAAACACTCCTGTACGGAGTTATCTACATTATGTAAAACGATATGCAAAAATTAAAGATGATATTGTTATTTTTATCTTGTATTGAGAGAAAATTATTTTACCTAAAGGCTAAGAAATGATCAGATTGGAGCATATCCTGTCCTATGCTGGCATCTGCTGGTGAGGTGTGATATAGCAGCGAAATATCAATAATAGCAACTTCTTAGGGGCTCTGTTACTGTCTCACATTAAGAACACAAAGTTACTCTGGTTCTCTTTCCCTTCAGTTCATGTGAAAGGGACCTGGTAGTCTTAGGGAGTTACACTAAGCCAGTATACCTGGGGCTACTCAATGTGTTTGTATCAGTAGAAGTGGAGTGTTTAGGGAAAGGGGTCTCAAAAGTCTGGCTTATACTAGAGTTACTGGGAAGCTTGTTAAAATGCAAATTCCCAGACCATCCCAGAGCAAATGAGTCCTGAGAATTGGTGCATTTAACATTTCCTCAGCTAATTCTAGGATACTTGGTTCCAGGACCACAGTTTGAGAAATTGATGGCGGGTCTGACTTCAGAGTACACGTTCTTCCCATTGAACCTGGTTTCCTTCTGAAACTCTTGCCAGAAGTTAGATGGACACATGTCTGTCTAGGTACGGACTAGGAAGTCTGCATTGGTTAAGATGTTGGACCATGGGAACTTTAAAGTCCCTTCCAACTAAGGTTTTATGTTATCCCGGCTGGTCTGTTTCTCCTCCTTCATCTACATTAAATTACCCTTTCTCCCCAAAGGTGCTCCATATTCTCTTTCATGCTGTCAAAAATAAGTGCTGTTGCTCTGGCCGGTGTGGCTAAACTGGTTGGATGTCATCACTTGCACTGAAAGGTTGCTGGTTGGATTCCCAGTCAGGGCACATGCCTGGGTTTTGGGCTCCATTCCCGGTAGGGGGCATATAGGAGGCAATCAAAAGATGTTTCTCTCTCTTCTCCTTTCCTCTTTCTCTAAAAATCAATAAACTATTCTTTAAAAAACGTAAGTGTTGTTTTCTATTTCTTGGTTGTAGGTTAGATGCTAAAAATTGCAAACGCATCAATCTGGGAGGAAGCCAAGCAGCTGGCTACCTCCAGCGTCTCCTGCAGCTGAAGTATCCTGGGCACCTGGCGGCTATCACACTCAGCCGCATGGAGGAGATCCTGCATGAGCACAGCTACATCGCGGAGGATTATGTGGAAGGTAATGAAGAGGTTGTTTGCTTGCAGCTTTTGGATGTTGGCTTTGGGGGCATTCCTTAAATTGTTTACAGGATAACTCATTTGCTCATTTTTTTTACTCATTACTTTTTAGCATCTCCTTTCCCTTTTGGTATTTACTTTCATAAAATGTTTAGTTAGCTGATAACTTACATATGTAGGTTATTTTCAAAATTGTTTTGGCTATTCTAGTTCCTTGCCTTTCTATTTTGATGCAGTCCCATTTGCTTATTTTCTCCTTAGTTCCCATTGTCCTAGGAGATCTATTGGTAAACATATTGCTACAAGAGATGCCTGAGATTTTGGTGCCTATGGTTTTTTGTAGGACTTTTACGGTTGCTCATCTTACATTTAAGACTTTTATCCATTTTGAATTTATTCTTGTGTATGGTGTAAGTTGGTAATCTAGTTTCATTTTTTTGCATGTACCTGTCCATTTTCCCAGCACCATTTATTGAAGAGACTGTCTTGACTCCATTGTATGCTCTTGGCTCCCTTGTCAAATATTAATTGAGCATAATGGCTTGTGTCAATTTCTGGGACCTTTTATTTCTTTTTCTTGCCTTACTTCACTGGTTAGGACTTCTAGTACAATTTTGAATAGGAGTGGTCAGAATGGGCATTCTTACCTTCTTCCCAGTTCCTTATCTTGAGGGAAGCATTTAGTCTTTCGCTATTAAGTACATGTTGTTAGCTCCAGGTTTTTGTTTTTGTTCTGTTTAAAAAATTTTTTTTAAATCTTCATCTGAGGATATGTTTTTTTATATTCATTTTAGATAGGGGAAGGGAGAGAAAGAGAGAAACATTGATATGAGAGAAAAACTTCGACTGGTTGCATCCCCATGTGTCCTGCCTAGGCCAGAGATCAAACCTGCAATCCAGGTAGGTGCCCTTGACCAGGAATTGAACCCATGAGCCTTCGGTGTGTGGGCTGACGCTCTAACCACTGAGCTGTACTAGGCAGGGCGAAGCTCTAGTTTTTTTGCAGATGCCTTTTATCAAGTTAAGGAAGTTTTCTTCTGTTTGTAGTTTTGCTGAGCATTTTTATTATGAATGGATTTTGAAATTTGTGAAATGCATTTTCTATATCAATTATATGATCCTATGGTGTTTCTGCTTTGGACTCTTCAGTTTGGTCAGTTTTCTGTGTTTTTTTTGGTCAGTGTTTTTTTTTTTTTTTTTTTAACTATCTGAAGTTCTTTTGTTGGGTACCTATTTAGGATTCTTATGTCTTTTTGGCAAATTAATGTTTTATCATTATATAATCTCTTTTTATCCTTGGCAATTTTCTTTGCTTTGAAGTCTATGTGGACATTAATGTAGTCACTCGTACTTTCTTTTGATTAGTATTTGCATGGTATGTCTTTCCATCCTTACTCTTTCCATATTATTATATTCAAAGGGAATTTCTTTTTTTGCTTTTTAATTTTTCTAAGAAATCTTTTTTTTTGAAAGTATTACATATATCTCCTTTTTCCCCCCTGAGAATTTCTTAATAGTTAGGTCTTTTTAAAATCTATTTTCTCAGTCTCTGTCTTTTAATTGGAATGTTAAGATGATTTTAAATTGATTTAATTATTCATATATTTGGATTTAGGTATACTATTTTATTATTTGTTTTCTGTTCCTTCTCTTTGTTGATCCTGTTTCCTTCTGCTGTCTTCTTTTGGGTTATTAGAACATTTAAAAAATATTTTTGGTATTCCATTTTATCTGTTGTTTTTTTACTATGTCTTCAAAAAAACATTTTTATTGATTTCAGAGAGGAAGGGAGAGGAAGAGAGAGAGAGCAACATCAATGATGAGAGAGAATCATTGATTGGCTGTCTCCTGCATGCCCCCTACTGGGGATCAAGCCCACAATTCTGACTGGGAATTGAACCATGACCTCCTACGTTCATAGGTCCACGCTCAACCACTGAGCCACGCCGGCCGGGCTTTACTATACCTTTCTGTAGTTTTTTCAGTGATTCCTCTAGAGGTTACAATAAACATACTTTACACAGTCTACTTAGAATCACTATTTTACCACTTCAAGTAGAATGTGGAAATGTTAGCATGCTAGTGACTCCTTTCTCTTTCCTCCTTTGTGCTGGAGTTGTCTTATGTAATCATCCACAACATTGGGAACTTGTCAGACAGCGTATGGTTTTTACTTTTAATTGTCAAACATTTTAAACTCAAAAAGAGGTTCGTCTGTTATATTTAACCAGGTTTTCATCATTTCCATTGCTCTTTGTACATTCCTGGTATTCCAGTTTTCCTTCAGGTATCATTTCTGTCTGAAGACCTGTACTTAGCAATTATTTTAGAGGAGGTCTGTTGGCATCATGTCCAGTTTTATGGCTGCATTTTGTTGATTGGGTAGTTCAGAGATTGTATGGCATATGCTCTTTATCTTACACAGACCTAGAATCCTGGTATTGTCTTTCTAATTTCTGTGCTAGTAGTGTTGCTATTTCATAACTTTCAAATTTATTTATTTGAAGAATTGCAGAAATGGCGGTGCCCTGACTATTATGAAAACAATGTGCACAAGATGCAGCTCCCATTTTCCAGCAAACTGCTCGGCAGCACTCTGACCGCTGAGGAGAAGCAGGAAAGGCGGCAGCAGCAGCTGCGGCGGCTGCAGGAGCTGAACGCCCGGCGGCGGGAGGAGAAGTTGCAGCTTGATCAGGAGCGGCTAGACAGACTGCAGTACGTGCAGGTAACAGCAGATCCCAGATGGGCCCCCGGCCTTGCTCAGCAAATGCTCCTCCTGTATATTCTTCCTTACCCACAAAATGCATCGACTTGGTTGCCCTTGGGGTCACGAAGGAGTCTAGGGTCATTAATACAGAGGATGGGATAGCAGCAGGTATTTTTGAAAGAGCTGTGGACTCTGGCTTTGATGATTTATGTCAGCCTTATAATCTTCTTTATTTTATTTTTTAACTTTTTAATGTTAGTGTAGCACACACGCTGCATAGTGCACAGATCTGAAGTTTGCAGCTCATGCATTTTCACAATGTGAAACACACCGTGTGTCTGCTCTTCAGATCCAGAAATAGAGCATTAACAGCATCCCAGCAGTCTCTCTCCTCCTGCCTACTCTTAGTAACCTTCCCACTTCTCCCACCCAAAAGATGACAACGTTTCTGATGTCTGTCACCATAGGTTAGTTTTGCCTGGTCAGGTAGTGGTGAAACCATGATGCCATGGCAGCCTAGGGACAGCTGGGGAGACAGCTGTGGGACACTTTGGGGGGAGGTGTGGTTTTGTGGTGGGGTGGGCTGAGGAGCTCTAGGAGCCCTGTCCTGCTGTAGTTCTCTGTTTGGCTCTAAGCTGCTTCTCTGTCCTTCCTGTTTGTGATTGCACTGATGACTTTGAGGATGAATGGTGACTGCTCTGGTTTCAGGAACTTCTAGAGGATGGCCAGATGGATCAGTTTCACAAAGCCCTGATGGAGCTGAACATGGACTCCCCAGAAGAGCTGCAGTCCTACATACACAAGCTCAGTTCGGCCGTGGAGCAAGCTAAGCAGAAAATCCTCCAATCCGAAGTCACCCTCGAGGTGGATGTGGTGGACAGCAAGCCTGAGGTACTGAGTGTTTTGGGGAGGGGGTCATGTAGAGATAGTAGACCTTCCTGAGTGTGGGAGGAGTGTCTGGAGAAGGCTGATATAAAAGGGGCTGTGACCAGACTTGGGGGAAAGAGAGCTGGTGTGGTGAGTGATGTCCACAGGTACACTGGCAGGGCAATGATAGCACTAACCTGTACCAACTGAAGTTCTGACCCAAGGGGTTTCACCCTGTAGTCCTCTGGCTCCCCAGGGATGGGGAAGTGTGTGTGTGTGTGTGTGTGTGTAGAGAAGGAAGAACATTCACACACCACTTGTGTGGTGCTGTCTTAAACCTGAACCTGCTCCTGTGATGGTTCTTTGGCAGTTAGTCATACGTTCCCTTTAACTTCCTTCATTGCTTTATTAAGTCTATTAGAGGCCCTATGCACGAAATTCGTGCAAGAGTAGGCCTTCCTTCCCCCAGCTGCCAACACCAGCTTCCCTCTAGCACCTGGGATCCAGGCTTTTCTCCGGCTGCCAGCAGGCACCCTGGACCCGGGCTTCCCTCGCAGCTCTGACTTCGTCCGGAAGGTCGTCCTCCGTCTGGTCTAATTAGCATATTATTATAGATAGATTATTATTATAGATTGTGGTCGATCTTTCACTTACCTCCTTTCCATCTTAACATTCTCTAAGGACAGGGATCATGCTGCATACATAATGGATGCATTTTTTACAGTAAATAGTGGGCATGCTCAGTAAAATGTTGGGTAAAGATCAGCCTTTTGTTAGTTACTAAAAACTAAGTCTTGAATAAGCTCTTTCATCCTCTCTCTCTCTCTCTCTCTCTCTCTCTCTCTCTCTCTCTCTCTCCTCTTTGTTTCCCTACCAGTGGACTATTAATAAGTGTTGATGTGGCCAAAGGGGCAGGGCTGAGGTAGGGCCATGGGTAATCCACATGCTGTTGTGGGCCCTGTGTGGTGAAGGGGCTGCCTGTAGGTCACACCTCAGCCGGAGGTTGCAAGTTGGCTTTTCTGTCTTTAAAGCTGGAAAAATGTGTAAGTGACTGTTCCTGAATCTGTCATTTCTAGAATTCTAAAACAAAGGAACTTGTGACACTTCAGGGACAGAAGTAACCAGTCCTACTATTGTGTTGTGTTGTGTTTTTTTTTTAAATAATATTTCTTTAAATCTAAAACCTACACTTAGAAAGAAACAGTCCTGTAGGAAAATCCAGTTTGATGCTGGGTGTGATGTGGTGCTTACCAGAGACTTCGAAACTGTTTGGCTTAGCATGAAAGTAGCTTTTCCCAGTGACCATCTCATAGCTGGAGGCTCTCTCAGTTCCTGCTTTCACCTCGCATTCTCTACACCTCTCTCTCACGGGCTGTTGACTGCACGGGAACAGCCCCTGATCCTGAGCATGCCCATTTGCTAGAGCAGATCCTGAGTCAGGTGTCCTAGGTACAGCTTATGGCTCACTGAAATCTCAGCTAGAAGGGACCTTTCCTACTATCTTACTTGCACACAGCATCCCAGATCAGCTTTGGTGGAACCAACGTGCATGTTCTAGTTTGCTTCTCCCAGTTGTCAGGTCTGTGTTCAGTTTGAGCTCTTGTTTACTGGGATCTAGGACCAAGTTGTCTTTGTTGTTTATTCATCCATATTTAGTTTTTATTATGTTTAACATGTCACCAGGACATCAACATCCTTACACCAGAAATGTGCACTAAGCCAGTAGTCGCCAACCAGTGGTCTGCAGATCACTGGTGGTCCGTGAGGTCCGAAAGGTTGGCGACCACTGCACTAAGCCACTGGCAGGTTTAAAAGGAAAACAAACAACTTTGAAGATGTGATTCCTGAGCAGTTGGGGAACTAATTTTTCCTTTCTTTGGTTCCCTTTTCTGCATTGGTTTCATGCCATGATTCAGCCACTCCTTCATTCAGTCAGCAGATACATGCTGGTCCCTCCTTTGTTCTGTGCTCATTGGGTACATATTAAATCTCTCTGGGCTTAGGGAGATTTTGAAATGTTAAACTTCAAAAGATTTCTCTGTATACAACAAACTTGATTAATTGATCTGTCCCCAGAGCTTTAATGGTCGGTGGGCATTTATTAAAGGTGCTTGTTAGTGACTAGAATTTATTACTGTAATCTTCCTGGGATAAATTTGACCATGACTCTGGCTGGCCAGTTCTGCCTTTCAGAAAGTATTTGTAGTATTTTCTAACTATTCACTTAGAATGGAGAGAATGGATTTATGTGGACCAAAGTTCATATTAAAATGCCATCCAAGCATTAATGGCTGAATTGGATTAATACAGCTAAAATTTTTAACTTAATATTTTCTAAAATCCATTTTTATCTACAGACCAATCCTTTCCTGCCCTTACTATTGTGCAAGTATTCCGAGGAGGATGTTGTGAAGGAGTAGGCTCTGTTAGCATTGCTGATGAAGCATTTAAACCTGCAGGTGCCCACTTCCATGGTTTTAGAGCGCTGTCATTTGTTAGGAAACACTATGGGCCCAATATAGAAAGTTCCTTTGCCCGACCAGCCACCATCAGAACTGGCCTCTGCTTGTTCCTGTGCTGTTCCAGGCACCCATGCTGCATCCTTCCTGCTGTGGTTTGGCAAACCGTCATTCTGTTCAGTTTCAAAAAGAACAGTCATATTTGTATTTCTGAACACCACACAGTGTACGTGAAGACCCTGGCAAGCCCTAGACGGAGAGACGCCAGCCATGCTAGAGAGCTGTATTCTCTTTTGGATGCTGTTTTCTGCGTAGAAATTATTAGCTTTGTTCCTCTGTGAATCATGTGAATTGGGATAAGTAAAATATCTCTTTACCATTTTTAGTGAAGCTAGCAAGTTATCTTATTTTTTAAGGTGCCATGCTTTTGAATATAGCTAGATGAAGATGGGTGATATTTTTGTTGTAGCTGAAGAAGCTTTTGAAACCCAAACATCTCTATTCTAGGAAAACGAGAGAGTGTATCTCAGGTGTCCACCACTGAGAGCTAGGTGTGGTATGCCAGGGACTGGGGTTGTAGAGGTGATTAAGGTACAGTTCCTGCCCGGCCAGCATGGCTCAGTGGTTGAGTGTTGACCTATGAACCAGGAAGTGATGGTTCGATTCCTGGTCAGGGCACATGCCCAGGTTGTGGGCTCAGTCCCCAGTGTGGGGCGTGCAGGAGGCAGCCAATTAGTGATTCTCGCTCATCATTGATGTTTTTATCTCTCTCTCCCTCTCCCTTCCTCTCTGAAATCAATAAAAAAATATTTTTTTAAAAAGATACAGTTCCTGCCCTTCTTGGTGCCTTAAAAAAAATAGAGCTGTAGAACCATACTTAGTGGACTGTAAAAAAGCTTGTCAGGTGTGGTAGGTGTGTGTGGGAATGCAGATGGAGTTCTAAGAAAAGATTGGGATATTTAAGCTGGGCCTGGAAAGGTGATTTGATTTCCATAAGCATGAGGAGGGAAGGACGTTTCAGATGGAAAGAACCACATGGGCAGGGAGCATGGCAAGTTTGGCATGTAGAGTGTGGGAGATGAAGTCAGGAGGGGGAGGCCAAGGCCAGGCTATAAAGGTCTTTACCAATCAACCTGGATATTATCTCTCAGATAGACAAAGCCTTCAAAGTATGGTGAGCAAGGAAGTCATCTGATGAGATTTTATTTTAGGATAATAACTGGAGGCAGTTAGGAAGATGGTTTAGGGAGAGGCAAGGCTGAAGGTGGGAAGAGAGGATAAAAATGTGTTGTAGTTGACTTGAAATTTGTCTTGGGAGTAGAGGGTGGAGGAAGAGACACTTAAATGTAGGATCTAGTGATCTTGGTGCCAGTTAGAAGCAGAGGTGACAGGAGTGGCAATGACTGATGATAATGGAACACGTGACATGTCCAGAACCAGCACTGAGCTCTTCTGCAACTGTCATCTTGATTAATTTTTACTCTTCAACAAGTACTGTCATCGCTCCCATTTTACAAATGAGGAAAGTGAGACTTACGGGAGTGAAGAAACTCGCCCAAGGTTGCACAGTTAGAGGTAGTGCAGCAGAGGTTCAGAGCAGCCATTGATTCCAGACACTGTGATCTCACTGAAAGGCAGTGGTTGGAAGGTAAAGCCTTCCAGGCTTAGGAAGATAAGGAGCTGGGTTTCGAGTTTCTTATTTTTAAAGTTTGTTGTTGTTTTTTTAAATATATTTTATTGATTTTTTACAGAGAGGAAGGGAGAGAGACAGAGAGTTAGAAACATCGATGAGAGAGAAACATTGATTAGCTGCCTCCTGCACATCTCCCACTGGGGATGTGCCCGCAACCCAGGTACATGCCCTTGACCAGAATCGAACCTGGGACCTTTCAGTCCGCAGGTCGACGCTCTATCCACTGAGCCAAACGAGTTTCTTATTTTTAAAGTTTTTGTGGGACATCATGACTTACAGAATTTCAACTTAAGGCAGAGCCCAGAATTTGGAGCTAAGAAGTTCTGTTTTAGGCCAGGTTTCTACCACTTTCTGGTGTAATGTGGTCGTGGGCACGTTATTAAGCCTCCTGACCCTTGGTTTCCTCACCATAAAGTGTAGGTTATTCGTGGTGAGGATCGTGCCAGGCAGCAGGTGTCCTGCTCCGAGTCAGGTCAGTGATGGCAGAGATGCTCTCACCTCCTTTGCCAAGAGCAAGGTCCTTAGGTTCTCGCCTCCTTAAATTACCTATTTCTAAGCCAATGCCTCTTATCCTGTTCTCTAGTCCCAGATGAAGAAATACTCCTTGTCCTTTCCAGGGTTTACCCTCCCCTTACATATGATAGGCCATCTATATTGGTCAGGACTTAGAATGCATTGTCACCCCTCTCTGAGCCACATATGCCACATGACTTTTTTGGGATGTGTGTGTGTTGGAGGAATGTGGAAGGGCAGTTTGAATGCTAGTTTACATTGTAGTATATATGGATAGGCTAGGCATGCTCAGCTGATGGTATTGAGTCTGCCCGAACCCTCCCAAGACACCATCTCTTAAGACAGTCCTTTCTACAACAGCTGTCATTATTAGAGCATTCTTCCATGGAATACAACAGAATATTTCTTTCTGTAATTCTCCCATTTGAGTCCAGAAGGTGAAACTCACCTGCCTTTCACGTGGCAGCACCACAGGTGGCTGAAGATGTCATCCAGAACCACTACCACTCCCACCTATCCCCTTTAACCAGGTCAAAATGAAAATGAGTTCTAAATCCTCCATTGGGGATGGTACCAGCATGTCAGACCACCCAGGTTCACTGTTGAAGAGGAAAGCCTGTTCCACAGACAGGAAGCATTCCGCCACCAGGGAGCTTTCAGTCACATCACCAGCCCGTTGGTATTGGCATGTATATCTACTAATTATGAAGAGATTTACTTAATTTTGCTGGTAGTCTAAGCCACTTTGTAAGACACCAGGTATCACACCCTCTCCCCCAAGTTCTGTGTGTGGTGGTGTGACTCCTGCAGGCAGCAGGGCCCCCACTGTGCCCCAGGTGTGGGTGGGCCCATCAGAAGGCTTCAGAGAGAAGGTAGGAGTTGAGGTTATATAAGTAGGAAGCAGTGCGGGGGACAAGAGCAAAGCCCATTCCTGGCTTTTCAGTCTTTTAATCCTTGTGTTCATGCGTGTTCTTTTCTTAAATACTTTATAAATTTTTCATGGTTTCATTTTCTCATAGTTTAGGCCATTGGGAGGTTTCAGTCCTTTCTCGTGACAGTGAACTAATAGAACTAAGGCTTGCTGAAGTTACAGGACCTGTTCTGTTTTGTTTATTCTATTCTTAGACCCCTGACCTAGAGCCACTAGAGCCATCCCTGGAAGACGTGGAAAACATCAATGATTTTGAACCCTTGTTTTCAGAGGAAACGCCAGAAGTGGAGAAGCCGGTCGCCGCTGTCCAGGTTGGACTCCTGTGGCCTCGATCATGCTCATGCTTTATACTGTGACATAAATGACCAGGCTAGTCTAGTCTGCTCCTTTAGAGATATTTTAAAAATCCCAGTTGTATTTTCTAGAAAGGGGGGTTCTGATACTTAAAACATCCAAAGTCAGGGTTATCAATTGGGGTTCCATCATCAAGGTCCGAGAATCTGTGAGTAATAAATAGTGTGTCTGATGGAAACATTTGGGTAAGTAATTGGGGACTTTATACCTGAAGACTAGCTTTAGTGGTTTAATTCAAATTTAAGCCAATGTCATTATGCTTAATCCTCATTTGGGTCTACTTTTATGTCATACAGTGGCACCCAGAGAGACTGACCTGGTCTGAGACACACCTGGGAAAAAGCTTTCTCTGCTGTGCAGGGACCAGGGTGCTGGACAAGGCCCTGGGCAGGAGACCTGGTCTTTCAGTCTTTCTGCTGCCACTCTTAACAGTCTCTTTCCCTGCCATTCAGGGACCATTTCATGATGCAAATTTGTAGGTGGAAAAGGGTTAGAAAATTGAATGTTCAAATCAGGAGAGTTGGGGAGGGGTTACTTGGGCATGAACAAAGGACAGAAGCTGTATTGGAATAAACAGTGCAGTTTGAGGAAACTGGCAATGAGCATGTTTGTCATATGGTCTAAAAATATCTTTTAAACCTTGGGTTTTTAAAGCCCGTGTTTAACTTGGCAGCATATCACCAGCTGTTTGTTGGGACAGAAAGAATTCGGGCTCCAGAAATTATCTTCCAGCCATCTCTCCTAGGCGAAGAGCAGGCTGGGATAGCGGAGACCCTTCAGTACATTCTGGACAGGTGAGACTGAAACTTCTATTTCTTATTTTTTCCCGAACCACTTCCTTGGCTTTGAGTGGTAGATTTGATGGTCAGGCATTGGAAATCTCTCTGACATTCTCCTTCTCATTGACTTGCTGTGCTCAGATAGTACTCTCGCCAGGCCTTTAGGTTTGAGCAACGTGGTAATGTATGTGCACTGGCTGTTGTATAAACCTTCACATTGAAGACTAGTGATTGTAAATTACCCAGAAATGTGCAGAACTTATAAGTCTTTTTTCCTCCTTGTAGACATTTATTTAGGAGTTTGCATTTCTATAAAAGCGTGCTTTCCCCCCTCCCGTTTATACAGGCATTTTCCTGCAGTGTGAGTTTTCATAATTCAGTTTGGACAAGTAAGGAACATGACGTTTGGTACTGTGGCTGCTGTTGGATAAACAGGATGGGAACTTACAGCTAGCAAGGAAGAAAAGCTATTGCAGCTGCTTTGAATGGCTGTCAGCTTGGTCTAACAGTGGGTGGGAAAGTGGCCAAACATGTATATGATAAAACTGTTACTTAAAAAAAAAAGCAGAGGTAGAGAGATGGACTCTCAAAAGGGAGGCGAGACTTCTTGGGGTGATAGAAATGTTCTTTATGTAGAGCAGTGGTTCTCAACCTTCCTAATGCCGCGACCCTTTAATACAGTTCCTCAGGTTGTGGTGACCCCCAACCATAAAATTATTTTCGTTGCTACTTCATAACTGTAATTTTGCTACTGTTATGAATCGTAATGTAAATATCTGATATGCAGGATGTATTTTCAGTGTTACAAATTGAACATAATTAAAGCATAGTGATTAATCACAAAAACAATATGTAATTATATATGTGTTTTCCGATGGTCTTAGGCGACCCCTGTGAAAGGGTCATTCGACCCCCAAAGGGGTCTCGACCCACAGGTTGAGAACCGCTGATGTAGAGTGTGGTGATGATGGTTGCTGGGTATATAGTTTACCAGACTTCCTCAAAATGTGTGTAAATCAAACCTCAATAAAATTAGTTTTTAAAAAACACGTGTTAGAAAGGCATAAAACTTCTAATCATGCTAAGGAAATGAATTGACCACTCAAAATAAGATTTTGACTAGATATTTAGCATTCTGTAAAGATGCAAATGAAAATTGGAAGTTTTTTAAAAACTTGTACAGATGTTTTCTCTTTTGTACTGAGAGCTTACATTTCCACATGTACATTCTCTTCTGATATTCAAGTTATAGGGACCATAGCAGAGTAATCTTTTCTCTCCTAGGTACCCAAAGGACGTTCAGGAGGTGCTGGTTCAGAACGTTTTCCTCACCGGCGGGAACTTGATGTATCCTGGGCTGAAAGTTAGAATCGAGAAGGAACTGTTGGCAATGAGACCCTTTCAGTCATCTTTTCAGGTACTGATTGATAATGTAACCAGCTGTTTCTTGTGTGTATGGTTTTTAAAAAAATATATATTTTTATTGATTTCAGAGAGGATAGGAGAGGGAGAGAGAGACAGAAACATCAACAGTGAGAGAGAATCATTGACTGGCTGTCTCCTGCCACCTACTGGGGATCGAGCCCGCAACCCCAGCATGTGCCCTTGGCTGGAATTGAACCTGGGACTCTTCAGTCCAAAGGCCGACGCTCTATCCACTGAGCCAAACCAGCTAGGGCTAACCAGCTGTTTTGAAAATAGCATTAATTATTTTGTTTTCTGGTTGCAGAAGTAGTAAGTAAAGTATAAATGAGAAAAATTACTGTATAATCTCATCACTAGCCACTGTTAAGCATTTTTGTGGTTTTCCTTCTGGTCTTTCATTTATGTTTAATTTTAAAAGCAGAATGAGAATCATGTTTTATATATATATATATTTATTTTTATTGAAAAAGGAAGACATGCATATAGTAAAAGGCAGAGAATACAAAAGATTGTACATGGAAAATAAGTCATTCTCTCACCTTGGGAGCAGCATCTTCTCTGCTCTCATTTTAGAGGCTTATTTGCCACCCTTGGCCAGAGCTGCCTCATATCAGGCTCCACTTTCCTCTGCTCCCCTCTGCTTGCAGAGAGGGGATTGAGGCCAGGAAGGCCTTTCCTCCAGGCCGAGTGCCAACTCAGCCTCCCTCTCCATTTGACAACTTGTGGTTAACATCACTGGAGCAGGAGCGGGGGCAACTGGTCCCTCTCTGACCCAGATTGGCAGGTCTTATGTTCATAAGTTAGCTGACCACCGCCTGTTCTGTGAGGTCAAGTCTGCTAGGGTTTGCATGCTTGTGTCACTTGGAGAGTCGAGGGCATTTCAGCTCAGCAGAGTTTGGAGGGTGCAGAGATAGAATCCATTGGGTCCTCCTGTGTGTATTTCTGGGGGTGAAGGGTAGGGGGATGTGGCTGGGCCTGCTGAACATTCACTCCTTGAGTCCTGATGGAGACAGCTTTCTGGTGAATGTTCTCTGTGTTTCAGGTTCAGCTTGCCTCTAACCCTGTGCTGGACGCCTGGTATGGTGCTCGGGACTGGGCCTTGGACCACCTGGATGACGATGCCGTCTGGATCACCAGGAAAGAATATGAAGAGAAGGGAGGAGAGTACTTCAAGGAACATTCTGCTTCCAACATCTACGTCCCCATCCACCTGCCAAAGCAGGCTTCACGCTCCTCAGAAGCCCAGGCGTCAGGCAAAGGCTCAGGGGCCAGTGGAGGCAGTGCTGGTGAGCAGGCATAACAGAGGGGCCCCTCTCGATCTTGGGCCATGTCGGCTAGTGTGACAGGCAGTGACTGTGCTAGATGTGTCTGGCCCAAGTCTACTGGGAACATTGGGCTGCAAGATGGATTTCTCCTGGGGAGAACATGAAGGGACACTGGGAGTTACCCTCTAAAACTTTCCCTTCCTCTGGGGGTTTCTGCAGTGAAGAAACTTCCAGTGACCTGGTGTCTTTGTTGAACCAAGATGAGCGGTAGCGTCCGCTGCCTACAGTAGTAAATGAAGACAGTGGAGGACAGAAATGCCCTTATTTCTTACTGCATTTTAAATCCCTTTTTGTTTTCAAAAACATTGAAAATTTATATTGTCAGTGTAGATATTTTTCTACGTTTATTCAGAAATTGTGTGAATGCTCAGCAGTTTGAGGTCTTCCACATACATGTAAAAAGATAATATTTATGTAATAAGAGTTCTCCACAAAACCTCAGGAGCTGTGAATATTTCCCTTTTCCTGTTACTTCCTCTTTCAAATGAGAGAAAAGGGTCCAAAGAGGGAAATCAAGTTGTACAGTGTAAGTCTGTTAGGGGCCTGCGTGGTGCCCACTTCTGAATGGGCAGAAATGGGGTCTTGGTCCAGCTTTTGCTCAAACTTTTTTTTGCTGGAAACTTTTCCACCACATGAGACCTTCCTACAAATTTTTAAAATTTTGTCCCTGTGTGTTTTGGCTGCGTAACATTTTCTGGCCTTTCTAAAGAAAGAAGTGGGCTGGAGAAGGTTACTCCTGTAGCCTTTTCAGTGTTGCCATACCTCATTCCCTGCACCTTTGTAGCTCCATCTTAGGTGGACAAATGACCCCTCTCTTTTACAGAAATTGCTTGGTAAGAGTTTTAACTCTCAAACACCCAGTAATTGAGCCCAGAAGGCCCCTGAGATGCTAGTGTCCTGTCTCAGGGTCCGTATGTTTCAGTCCCATGGAGCCTCTAGCTCTGATGCCTCTGATGAGGCCACCTCAGCACCTGTTTGCTCAGACAGTTTACCAAGGGCGAGCACCTGGAACTCCACTCTTAGGAGCCTAGAAACTGAAGACCAGGAGGGGGCAGCGGTGATTGTGGAGAAGGAAGAAAACTTGGGCCGACCCAAGATCCCACACGTTGCCAGTGAGCCACTGGCCGTCATGCTTGGGCCCACGGACTGATGAGCTGGTAATAACCATGAGCTGCTAAGAAAGGATAGATGCGAAGAAGAAGGCAAAAGCAGCTTCCATGTGAGAAAGATTTTCCTAGCACATTTCCAGGGCTCGGTCCCTAGTGTGGGGCGTGCAGGAGGCAACCCATCAATGATTAATTGCTTTTTGACCTGGAGTCTTTTCCCCATCGTCAACAGTTTAAACAGCCTGAACAGCAGTGGTGAGTGGTCAAGATGGCCATGGAGGTCAAGCTGCCCTGAAGGGGAAGGTCCCTCAGTGGGCAGGTAAGCTGGGACACATCAGTAAAACAGGTGTTTGTCCTCTTAAGGGTTCATGTCGACTCAGGGAATTGAGGACGTCAGGGCAGCTCTCAGGGGTGGCCTCTTAGGGGGATCAGGGCTCCTTTCTCTGGCTAAAATGTGGTAGGGGGTATCCCCCTGCTGCCCACTTATGCTGTCCCTGCCTCCCACTGGCACTTGTGGAAATAAACAGTTTTGCCAAAGGAACAAATAAGGTAAAAATGTATGAAAGTAGAAGTTAAAAGTAAAATAAGCGTTAAAATATGGGTAGACAAGGCTAACCCAAGAAATGGAGAAACCAAATTGGTATGCAAATACAGTATGCAAAGATTATTTTATGCCTATGAGTAAGGGGTTAAGTGAATGAGATGAAGTCTGTCATTTCTGAACTTTGTGGTTAAGTCATTACAAGAAAATCCGAAAATGATAGAATAGTATTAAAAAATGTACACAGAGCCCAGCCAGCATGGGCATTGACATATGAACCAGGAGGTCACGGCTCGATTCCTTGGTCGGTGCACATGCCCAGCTTGTGAGCTCAATCCCCAGTGTGAGGCGTGCAGGAGGCAGCCCTTCAATGATTCTCTCTCATCATTGATGTTTCTATCTCTCCCTCTCCCTTCTTTCTGAAATCAATAAAAAAAAATTTTTTTTTTTTTTTAGAAAAGATGTACACAGAGAGACTGGTTGTTTACTAAATATATTTCCTTTCCTCCTGGGCACACAGCTGCACTACATTTCCTAGCCTTCCTTGCAGTTATTCACGTGGCCATTTGAGTTCTGGCCAGTGAATATGGGCAGAAGAGATGTGCACCATTTCCCGGGCTGGATTCTATCAATCTCCCATAAGAGCACCTCTCTCCACTTTCCCCATGGCTGCATGGAGAGCAGTCTAAGGCCCAAGAGGAGCGTGGAGCCAAGTCCTTAAGTGACAGGATTCTTCACTGAGCCACAAATAAATTCTTATTATGTTAAGCCATGAGAGCTTTAGCCTTTAGGGGGGACTTGGATCCAATGACTGGTGTCCTCATGAGAGAAAGGAGAAAGGTTTGACACATAGGGAAGAGGGCTGTGTGAAGGCAGAGATTGGAGTGATGCAGCTAAAAGCCAAGGAACACCAGGAGCCGCCAGCAGCAGGAAGAGGCAAAGAAGGATTCTCCCCTCGAGCCTTCATAGGGAGGTGGCCCTGGTGACACCTTGATTTGGTAAACAGCACTGTAAGAATAAGTTTCTGTTGCTTTAGGCACCAAGTTATGGTAATTTGTTACGGCTGCCCTAGGAAACTCACCCAGATGAGCAGGTTAGTCTGGGAATGAGTGTGAGTGCAGGTGGGACGTTGTTAAGCCATATAGAAGCAAATATGCAGGAGGTTAACCCTACCAGACCGCCGTACCTAATTTTCGGTACTTTGCCTAATACGTGAAAAAAATGCGTCACAAACTAAAAATAACCAACCAATCGTGGTCAAACCTCATGGTTAGCCATTGCAAATGTCTGCCCCCATGTGTTTGAATTGACTTTGTGTGGATTGACGTGAAAAAATTTTGAAAATTCACAATGAAACGAGCGGCTGATGAACCAAGCACTTCAACAGGAAAACGAAGGTTCAGGGCCTCAGGTCTGGTAGACTTAATGGGGGAAGCAGTTAAAGGGGACATCTGTAATACTTTACATAATAAAGATAATTTTTTTAAAAGGAAACAAATAACTTGCCAGTAAATTGGAGGAGTCCTAGCAATATCAGCACCTGGATGGCAACAGCTTTACCCAGGTAAGCTGGCTCTGGCAGGGAAGGAGTAGAGAAGAAGGGTGTGGAAAGTGCACAGGACTGACGGTCTTGGTGAGGCACCCCTTCTGGGGGTGAGCTCGGCACCTCGGAAGCCAGAGGTGGTGTAATGGAGAGCACAGAGGGGCTGGTGATAGACTTACTAAAGCAACAGAACCCGAGAAAGCCTGTCTACAAAAGGTGCCAAGTATTAATGAATCTGTGTCTCACTAGCACCAGGAGGGGGAGTCCTTGAGAAACAGAAAACCACCCAAACCCTCTCCCTGCCTGGCTTCTTACTGTATCCTCCTGCTAATCGTTGTTTAGGTAAACCTAGCATGCTCAAATGTCCACGTTAATACAATGAAACTGCAGCATCTTTATGGGAATATAGTAGGAAGAGACCAAAACCAGAAAATTCAAACATTTTAGCAGGTAAAACATACTTATTAAAAAAAAAGCCATTATAGGTAGAAGAAAAATGTAATGCAACGTTCCAACAGGAATTAAAAACAACTGGACAAGCAAATGCAGTGAGACAGCACAGCACAAATGAAAAACTTGATGGAGATGACCAAACAACAGGTAGAAGTGAATGGGAACTGACAGGACTCGAATTGAATTAAAGTATCAGAAACCTAAATTCAAGATGCACAAGGGGAAGATATTCAACCGAAAAAAAGAGAACGAGAAAATAAGAGAAAGTGACAAGAAAAAGAGGCAAAGGCAATCTAATTAAATTTAATATTGTTGAAAATTCAACTATATTGAATTTTATATTGATGAGAATAGAAGAAGAAAATGGAACAAAATTAATTTTTAGCATGGTAATTCAATAAAACTTTCCTCCCCATGAAAAGAAAACACCCTGAATATAAATACTGTAAAGACACACTGTGTGCATACTTGGGAAAGTTGACTCAGAAGTGTCAATTTAAGAAAGAGCCTACTAAAATTATGTCAACTCTGAGAAAGGTCTTAGTAAAAAAAAAAAGAAATCCTCTGGACCTCCAGGCAAAAAGACAAAGTGGCTTATACAATAAAAGTTAGATGTCATCAGGCTTCCTAGCAGCAATATATAATATAGAAAGATAAAAGGATAATTAGAAAACAAAGATGAGAAGTGTTAGAGACCATTGAGAAGAGGTGACCCCTGGTTGACCTTGGTGGTGGACCTGTCGGTTCCCATAGCTGGAGCTGTTTAAAGGTTGCAGCCTTGAGAGAATCAAGTGTTGCTGAGACCATCTTTCTGTACTGTACATGACTGAGCTTGTTAAGTTATATAAACTTAAGATTCTGGCTGATGGCTGCCCCAAGACAAGCCTTGTATGTAAGGTCCCTTGCATATTAAACCTGCCACCTGCCAATCTGAACTGGCCTGCCCCTTCAGTTGATCTAGGGGCCAGTTTTAGATTTCATCCCAGGGAATTCAAGGTTGCCAGTGAGCCGAACAGTAAAGAAACGTCTTTTTTTTTTTTTTTAAATCAACACAATTTAACTACTAGGAAAAAAACAACAAAAATTTAAAACTAGAAAGAAAGCACAAATACACAAAATAATAAGGAAATAATTATCAAAACAAGAGTAAAATCATTAACTGCAAATACATCTGGAAAAAAAATCTAGGTGAAATAGATTTTTAAGGAAAATGTAATATACCCAAACTAACCCTAGTAGAGATATATAAAATCCAAACAGACCCATTTCCATAGATGAACTTAAGAAAGTTGTCACAGAGCTTCCCCTCAAAAAAGTT